GACAGGTTTACACTACTTGCCAAAATGTACAAGTAAGGCCTCTCAAACGATGTGTCAAATTTTCAGCACTCAGTCGCTGTATCCTGGAGTGACGACAACTGCAAAAACGAGCAAGAGCTGGAATCTCGGGCGAGGCAGACAAACTCTCCGTTCTTTCTCCTGTTGAGCCCTGGCTTTGACCCCTCCTTGATATGTTGAATACAGGGCTTGTGTAACACGACCGAAGAGTACAACAGGTGTTTGAACTTCATACCATGGCGCTGGCAAAAAGGCTTCACCGGGTGATTGTAGACGGGTAATTCCATCACGTTGCCGTTAATTCAGTGGCTACTCAGAGGTGTAGATATGACGGTACTCAGTACTCATCCTTGGCTGTCGTCATCCACTTTGCAGGACTCAAGTTTCCTATCGAGGTGAACGTAGTTTCTTGTCCAGTGGAAGTAACGGGAAATAACATGCAAACCATGCCTCATATTGGAAAGAGTACCAGCTACACATTAGCGGTATCAAGAGCTACATGCCTCGTATTGGATCTCAACGCGTACCTTCGTTGGGCTACCACGTCCACATCAGCCGGCACTACCTCCATCCTGACCACCGTCCTTTCTCCTCTGTTGAACCTGTCGAAGGAATTGCTTCGGGCAATGGAGTCCCGCCCCTGCCTTTCGGCTTCCGTTGTAGGTGGGACGCGTTTCGTGTCTTGTATATTCTACCCTTCCGGGGGGATTTCTGTTTTTCCCTTTCCTATTTTATTTATCCTCCCTCTTTTGTTTATCCGAGTGCCTAGATATGACTTGGCAGTTTCGTGTATTTACTTATATACAGGACACGTCGTCCTTTCACCCTCAGTCGTTTGTCACGTACACTTCTGAGGGTGAGTTTATACTTTATTTATCAGTTTATGGAACTCGTACTTACGTCTATCTATAGCCTAGACTTATACGTGTTTCACAGGTACATATAGTCTCAATACGAGTCGTTTGTCACGTACACTTCTGAGGCTTAGACTTATACGTGTTTCACAGAACCATGGCTTCGACTCCTCCTCTGTTTAATCCAGGATCTGTGTAACACGACAGCAGGATTCAGAGGCAAAGGCCTTAGGTTGAGCGGTGAAAACATGGATAATCAAGTGGATAATCCACCCAGTAACTCACACCCATAACTTCAATGTATCTCAAGGTCTCAACTAGGGAGGTTTACCGTTTGATTGCTAATCTCTAAACAAGCTTGGCTGAGTTTACTACAAGTCTATGACTGATCACTGCACTTATTGTATGCATCAAGCACTTGTCACATACACCTGTTACCCCAAGTGTACCAACTAGTAAATACTGAATTGGAAAATTCAAAAATTCAATGAACCAGAACCCAACAAATAATGCAGTCAACTAAGAGTCCCAGGGAATTTTAGTTTTCCTTGGCTTAGATATTTTGGCTATCATCCTTCTTACTCTCCATAGTATCCCAAGCCTGGATATCTGTGCAGCAAGCACAACTGCACGAGCCCAGTCTTTGGTTGGGCGATGTGCTCCTCTTTTCCAAGCAAAACTTACAAGCCCTTGTGCATCAATCTGGTCCAATGCAACAAGAATCCTTTTGCTGGGAAACTTGACTTCTTGAGAACAGTATGCATGCCATTCTATGTCTGCTATTAAATGCAGCTCATGGTCCAGCCAGGTAAAAATTGGGCCTGGAAGTGGATTACTTCAGGCTTTTGGTCAATGATGGATGATGGCAGGCAAGCAGCTAGTAGACAACTCACAAATTATTGAATAGGATGTTTGCAACAGCAATTGAAATGGACCTCAGAAGATAGAATGCTAGTTGTTCCGCCATAGCCTCCCTAGTTGCATCTACAAAATACCTTCCCGACCGCTTCGGATCAACCAGGAAATCTCGAAAGGAAGCATGACGAATTCCAATATCGTCATGGACAGCATGCTCTGGGATATTTAAAACTGAATGTAGTCCAAAAAGCAATGCTGCAACTTTCCCCTTGTTAAGCGAAAATATGTGTTCCAGCATTACACACGATGTCAGGCGTATAAAACTTGGAATGCCACAGAGACTGGGCGTGAGATAGTGGTTCACTTGCCTGGTGGCAAACATGGAACTGACAGAGCCGCCCAAAGCAATATAAGAAAGAATGAAAAGGGTGATCTGGTAATCCTGCTCATCTATGGCCAAACGCAGGATAAGCATGTACAGCAGGTCAAGATCAGGATATGGCGAGTCAAAATATTCTGGGACAGTGACATTCAGAATGATTTTCAACCGTTCAGTGGGTAGTGCACGGTAGTCTCCCACATATTTAAGAACAGTGGCTGCATAAACAAATTGTCCACAGGCCCTCTGCACAAGCTGCTGGATGATATGGTTACCAGGCCAGTCTTGTGCTACATGGGCCATTGCTGATCCGTGACCTTGTTGAATCATGCTAAATTCATCTTTGAGATACTTGGCAATGTCCACTCCAGACTGGAAAGAGTCTCCAAGCTCAGTACAGTCTAATATGAGTTGGAGCTGTTCATGCCTAAAAGCATTTCGAATGCGAGGTTCAGGCCTGCTGCATATCAAGAACTCAAATGGCAAAGGAGGTTGAGCATCAGCACTTTTAGCTTGGCGGATGATAGAAAGTAAGCGTTCTTGAGACGCAATATCAACGCATTCATCCAGGCCATCAATTACAATGAGCCGAGGAAGAATGCTCAGTTGCTCGGGAGACAGCTGGCTGCATGGCTTGACTATCAGCTCATGAAACTGTGTTTCCAGCGAAGCTTGTATGATGTCTGGCCTGCTATAAGCAACACGTGTGATTGATTTGTTCAGGATTGGGCTAGATGAAGGAGATACGGCCAACTGATAGGCGAGCGTGATGAAGAAGTGGGAAAGTGTACTTCGGAGGCCGGAGGGTCAGTGCGAGAAAAGAAAAAGCTTGCCGCAAGACCGCTTGTTGAGAAAGACTCTGAAATTGTTTGTGCTATAGCCGATTTACCAACGCCAGCTGCTCCGTAAAGCCAATATATCGATGTCGGTTTGGATTTACTTCTGACCCAGCGCCTGAGAGTTTTGAGAACGTGAGTCCGTGTACCGGGATGACATTTAGGAGGAGGGAAGCGTTGCTCGGCGTTGTGAGAGGCGCTAATCACAGTCTTTTGAGTGAGTGTTTCGAGGCCCTTGGAAACTACAAAGATAACTGAGCTAGGGTAATCCAGGGAAGTGCGGATTATACTCACTAGAGCGCTCCAGTTCATCTAAGTTATCTTGGTGATCAACTTGAACATTATAATGATGAATGTTAGTGAATGATCCACCACTGATAGCGAAATGTTTAGCATCAGGGAAGAATGACATGACGGTGCAGCAGCCAAGATAACGAGTTTTGAGTAGATCCACAAAGCTTGATACTAGGGAGAATAGTGTCGGGGAAGCAGTGAGTTGTGAAGAAGTTGAAGGTTCGGGTTACCAAGGTTATCCTTTACTCCCCTCCGAGTCGCGTTGGCCAGTCTGAAGTTGTCCTCATGTTAATCCATTGTTCTCGTGTTAACCAGCCGTTGTCCTCAAGCTGTCCTCATGTCAACCTCAGACTGGTTCAAGAATCATAAGGGTTACTGAATTGCAGGATTTGGAGCTGTGTATGACTAGCACTTTCAGCCGTCTTGGACGTATGTGGCGGGTTGGTGGCGGGCTGGCAAAGGCATCACTAGCTTAATTCCAGCGCCTATTTTCAGAAGTTCCCACAAACTTCTCTTCAAGTCCGTCGTTTTCTTTTGTCAATTGGACAAGAAAAGTCATCAACGCATGTGCACAATGTACTATCCAACATCGACGATCGATTAATCTCCTGACGGTTACACCACCACCACCACCACCACCACCACCTGAAACTTGTCGTTATGCATGCGCTGAAAATTTTCCAGGCGAAGGCATATCTTGTTATTGTTCTCCTTGGTAGGCCTGAAGATTTCTGGTGTCGAGTTTGAGATCTAGAAGTGGAAGTGTCATGCGTCAAGGAGCAGTCGGAGCCGTAGGATGCGTACGAGACGGTCTTTGTAGATATCCTCGAATGCACGTTTTTCTTTTCCTTTTGTTCAGTTTATCGTTGAGCGTATTTGCAGTCGGTTCGGTTGCCTCGGTGTCTCCTCGCTACGTCACACCGCGATCGCGGAAGACGACCGCACGCTTGTCACGCCGTCTCCGTCTCCTCGTTACAAGTAATGTTTTTAGCGGTTGCAAATACGCTCTTCGCTAACAGGTCACCATTTGCATCATTGCACATACACGAAGGCTTGTTACCTCCCTTTCGATACCAGTGAAGGCAATTCAATGATGGAAGTACTGTCATGAGGATGTCGACCATTGAAGCTGAAGTTCCATCACGATTCGCGGGTATACAGAGCAATCAAGATATTTTCTCGACAGTCGACGCACACGACGCCGCTGCTTCCTCTAGCTCAAGTTTCAAGGCCTCAAACCCGAAAGATATTGCACGCGGACCTATTCCTCACCGCCGACCTACTCGATCTACATCGCCATGATCTTAAATTATTTTCCTACCTCATCAATATCTGGACAGGTCTACACTACTTGCCAAAAAGTAGGCCCAGCTGTGACGTGAATGCCTGGACTCGTGACGGCAACTATATACGAAAACGCGCAAAAGGCAGACAAACTATCCGTTCTTTCTCCTCCGTTGTGCTATAGCTTTGACTCCTCTTTGATTTGTTCAATCAGCTTTTGTGTAACACTATACAGAACTTCATTAAGCAAAGGGCCTGATGTAGATCCCAATAATGTTTCCTTGGTGGGCCGTATCATGACCAAAAGGTTGTACTTAGAGGCTAACATATTGTGGAAGCGCTCGAACGGATAACGAATGAGAAGAACTTGCTCGAGTCGATGCCATTTTTTTTTTGTTGAATCCGTTAATCTAATCTACTTTTTGAAAATGTCCTCGGGGTACATTGTGGAACGACGTCTACTGCTTTCTTAGTATCGGGCGTATGGTCTAGAGGTATGATACCTGCTTTGGGCACGCTTGCATTGAACTCCATTGTAGGGGGTCTTCGGTTCGAATCCGGATTCGCCCCATAAACAACGCACCTACAGGTGAATTTTTTTCTTTCTAATGGCCGAGTACTCACTAAGTACCAGGAAACCCTCTCTTTTGCAGTTCGGCGGTGAAAGGCTGTCGTTTCGTATTGACAGACACTTCAAGACACGACATTGTCAGAACCACGGTATATTCTCCGGCGAGGTGCTACAACTTAAGAGAGACATGAGGTACTACGAGCAGCAGACGAACTATCGATGGTGGTGATTACGCTATATAAGAAAGACAACTGTTCTCCGGAGTCTATACTGCTACACTGCGGGAAGCAGAGATGGACATGCAGTATCGCATTTTTAATATTGAGCGTATGGTCTGGAGGTATGATACCTGCTTGGGGAGTGGGTAGGCTGCTAGGTTTAAGTATCCTGTTTCATGAATCTATCTATTGATTGCAGGGGGTCTTTGGTTCAAATCCGAATTCGCCCCATGGGTTTCCATATCAGCTCTTGTTTCTTGTTTTGGCCTGAGTATTTACTAGTCATTCGTCGCCTTAAAAATATTTTTTCCTCCAAAAGATCTCGATTCTCCTCTTCTCCAACTTGTAGACAGCCCTCACAGTCTTGCAGAGAAGGGGGAAAAATGCAAGAGGTACAAAAATATGGCTGAAAGCAGCGCAAGCTGCAAAGCAAGACTTCAAAATGGGATATTGAACCATCGACCAGTTCTCGCTGTTGGTACCCCTCCGAGCTTGAGATGTATTTACGGATACATCAAGATCATTTATGGCCAAAGCAGTAACCGCAAAGCAAGACTGTTGTTGTTCTTCATTTTCCCTTACCTCTTTCTCCATAGTTACATTGTTGGAGGTCAAGATGGACCTAGATGGACGTGTAGTACTACATTGTTAACATTGGGCGTATGGTCTAGAGGTTGATACCTGCTTTGGGTTCAATGGGCGCAGCAGGCGTATTTGATTATCCACCAGGGGGTCTTTGGTTCGAATCCAAATTCGCCCTATGTCTCTATTCGCTCTCATCTCTTGTTTTTGGCCCAGTATTCACCCGTCATTTGGTGGCCTCGGATATTGTTTCCTCCAAAAAAAATCTCTAGGTCTCCAACTCATGGATAGCCCTAGCAAACCTTGGACAAATCCTTAAATTCAGCAGGAGAAAGGTAAAATTGCAAGCGGCGGTACAGTAATATCATGCATGGCTCAAAGCGGTGCAAACTGGAAAGCAGGACTTCGAAACGGGACATTGTACCTGACCAGTTCTAATTGTTGGTACTCCTCAAGATGTACTGTATGAGCTCTCTTTCTCCATAGATACATTGTGGGATGTAGTACAGATAGTGGACACTGTGCAGCACTACATTATTGCCATTGGGCATATGGTCTAGAGGTATGATACCTGCTTGGATTGTGAGCGGCTTCGTTCCGTCAATTTCATTATCCACTGCAGGATGTCTTCGGTTCGAATCCGAATTTGCCCCATCAAGAAGACTTTGTTCAGTCATGTTTTGGCCCGAGTAACAGCTTGGGGACCCGCTCTACCGAACCCGATGCAATACAGCAGAAATATAGCCTGAGTTGCGCTGAAAATGACTAGTAAGTGCTTATACAATGGGGGTTGAAGGGACTAAAAACATCAACCGAAGTGAGGAAACCAATCACGTATGGGGCGAATCCGGATTCGAACCGAAGACCCTCTGCAGTAGAATAGCTTGAAATTTGCGCAACGAACCATCACCCAAAGCGGGTATCATGCCTCTAGACCATACGCCCAGTGGTAAAAACCATGTCAGTCTCTGAGATCTACTTTCCACGATGTAAGTAGCTAGTATGGAAAAAGCGAACGATAAATTGATAAGAAGCGATAAGAAGCAAACGCAAATTTCCTTTTCTGGAAAAGATACATCCCGCTTTGACATTAAGTATGTATATAATGTATTACTCTTTCTACAAAACTACACTTGAACTCTAGTACACTTACAATAACTACTGCCAGATTCCTCCAGTCCCCCTCGCATCTGCACTAGTTGCGGGGTTTCGAGACCTCGACGTGTGAGAAAACCATGAAGATTGCAGTTTACTTGAAAATTAAACAATGCATACCAGTTCTACCAATTCCATGCTGATCCCAGGCTAATTCCACCCCGGTTCTATCCCGATCCCAAGCCCACGGCACCCCCAATAGCAGTCAACAACGTATCCATATAATCACCAGTAGTATCCCAGACCGAGAACCCCCTCAATCCCATCTCACTAATAAATTTCCCTTTTGCAGTAAAAGAAGTCGCATCGTCGTATGAGACCATCACGTCGGTAGTTGGGTTATACACAAACGGCTAGAATTTCAACACAACAATCAAAATAATCGGCTTCCCATACAAACGTTAAAAAAAGAAAGAAACCACTCACAGTCTGACTACACTCATCAAACGTCCAATCCACGCCCTCCACCGGCGTTCCCTCCGGTGTAAGGAACCCTCCCGGACTAACAATGAGCCCCCAGTAGTTAAATATGCCTCCTATAGGGGTTGGGTTACCACAGGAATCTGTACCAGCTGGAGCATCTTGACTATCACCATGAGGCTGTGCCCCCGCGTTGAACGCGGGGTAGAGCTGGAGCGTGGAGCCCTTAAGCGCGTTGGAGTTGCTTACGTTGAAGGAGTGGCCGTAGGCGGCGACGCCGAGGGAGAGCTTTGGGGGGAGAGGAAGAATTTAAGCATTGTAGACTCGGGGTACGGGGGAATCGAGGAGAAAAAGGTTTAATACATACCTGATCAGCGGGAAACCCAGCCGCTGTCCATGCTTTAATCGCAGACACGGCTGATCCATCGCGAACTGGGGCACATGTGTCATTGAGAGGTGCGTTAGGTCCGACGGTGGAAGACCAGGAGCCCCATATATCATAATTCATAACACCTAAACAAACAAAAGAAAAGAAGTTAGGAACTCTTCATTTCCATCCCCGAATATCCGGAGACATGCACACGAAACTGCGAGAACTGCGTTCCACGATAAGTAGCCAACTCACTTATATAATTTAAAACATCCGCAAAACTCGACACATCCGCCATAGGCTCTCCATCCGATCCAGCAAAGGGCGTAATAGAGACAGCAGCAGCAAGGATCAACTGTGCACCCGTAGGGTCCTTGCGAAGTTGTTGTAAGAATAAAAGAAAATTCGCAGAGTCTGAGGATGAGACGGTGTTGCATCCGATGCCCTCTTAATAAAAATAAATAAAGTTATTCACGTTTTATCAGCACTTGGGGAGTGAGAATCAACTTACGTTTTCCGGGGTATTCCCAGCTGTCATAAGAATAGATTAGCATGCGCAAGACAGAGGGTTTTAGGCGGGTTGGAGTACTCAGTTACTTACTCGAATTCGATTCCATCAACATCGTACTGATTAGCTATATCCACAACAGTTTGCACGAACGCGCTCCTGTTTTGTGCGGTCGCCATTGCGTTGGAGAAATACATGGATCCTGACCAGCCGCCAATTGATAGAATGGTGGTCACATTCTACGGGAGTTAGTAGAAGAATCAAGTTAGAACAAGTTTACAAAAGAGAGAGAATCGGAGGAGGAAATAAAGCGCACATGTGTCTTGGCGTGCTAACAAACTCAGGAAGAGCTTGTTGGCTTATCGAATCTAATGCGACCGTGTTCACATCCGGGGTAGTCCTGCGCGTAGTTAAATTTCCCATTAATTTTCCCAAAGCTCCAATCGTCAATCGAAAGAGTTTAAGGATACTCACGTGGCGAAGGCAAAAGTCAGTGTGTTGTATTTACTCCAGGATATATTACTGGGAGGATTAGTGCCTGCCATCCATCCGGGGTACCACCCATTTGCCAAAACCGCCGCGAGTTTTCCAGTACTTGGGCCTGGTACGCCAGGACTTCCAGAACCTGAGCCCGAACTAGAGTTAGAACCCGATCCCGCACCTGAACCCGACCCCGAACCTGATACCCCAGAACCCGTCGATGCCGAACCGGAGCTTATGGCGCCTTTAGAGGGAACAAGACCACACTTGGGTTCTCCTGAAACAATTTGAAAGAGGGCAAAGGCCCAGAACCAGAACAGTGAGGAGAAAGCCAATTTCATCAATCCAACTTGCAATGAAAGAGTCGAGGATCTAAGTTAGAGAGAGATAAAAAGATAACAAGTGTTGCGTTTTGCGGTGTTTATAGAGTGCAAAAAAGAGGAACGGGGCTGCGGGGTGCTCAAGGACATTGTGCGAGACAATGTGTTTTTTTTTGGTCGAACTTTGGCTCAACTTTAGATGGGGCCATGCTGTGTACACGTGTACTGTAAAGAAAGAAAAGTTGATGCATTCTGATACCTATTCCTAGCATAGTCTAGTGGCCTTGGTGGCCGGTGCGGTGTGAACGAGGTTGAGCTTTGATTCGTGGGAAGATAAAATCGGGCCGTATGGCCGCATGATCGATCGATCATCGATGGTTATCTTTTGTGTCTAGACCGCGACGACACTTGCAGCACTGAGGTCGTCGAGGGCGATAACGACGAGAGATTTCGAGAACGAGCTTGGATTCTTTTCGTGGGTGGTTTTCACTGTGTTTGACAGAGTTATGAGCTTACTCTTGCTTACTTGAACCTTTTAGGCTTGCAGATTACCGGATTTTCGCCTTTTTTTTTCGCTCGTTCATCTTAAGATGTACCTTAGCGTAGATGCAATGTTCATGCGGTTAATATTACCTTTGAGCTACTCGGCAACGGTGATCTAAATGTCCATCGCACTATATCCTTGGTAATTCCATCGCAATATTCCTCGCAGAAAAGAGATTGGCGAGATGATTTGTTCGGAGCTTGGGATTCGTTTACGTGGAAAAGGTAAGTGACATTGTGCCCGTAACGATTGACATTGTAATATCAAGTTTCGTTTCAGGAATATCACAGTTGTTTTTTCGCATGAAAACTTGCTTCGCCAAGTTCCGTAAAACGTGTACATCTGTTGTTCTCAAGCCTCCTTCTCTCACCATACGATTTTTTTCGCTTGAATTGTATTCGATGTCAAGGTTAGGTTTGCTCCTTTATGCGCAATGTCATTGTCAAGCTGGCATCACCAATGTGCGCATAACGACTGGACGCGTCAGCCATGACCAAATCCGCCGACGATGAGCCGCGAAAAATCGGAATAATCACGTGTGATCCCGGATCGATAATTGCAATTTCCTTTTTGGGCGGCTGCGCTCAGTTTTTTGAAACCATGTTCCAAATCCAAACGATCTGTTGATTCTGCTGCAGTGCTTGGCTAAATAGCGTGATCTCAGTTTAGTTTCTTTACAACCAACCATCTTCCTCGTTCCTTCCACCACGTCTTCCCCTCGTTCCTTCCGCTACTTGCGCTTTTCAACGAGGCCATCATGCCTGTTTCACAGCCAGCTCAAGCCGTGTTCGAGCCAGAACTTCATCACATCGTGCTCGACACCGTTTTTCGCGGCGTAGAACACTCGATATCCACGACAGATACGCCAATTCATCAGTATCTCGGAATCAAGTTTGCTTCTGTCCCAGCCAGATTCCGCCAGTCCAAAGTTTTTTCTTCGTATTCACCAGTAGTCGACGCCTCGAGATATGGGTACGGATTTACATTTACTCGCTGATCATGATACTATGATACTGATAATGATGTTCGCATGGTTTCAGTCCCATCTGTCCTCAAGTTAAAAACATGCACAGTTTCGAAGAAACCATGTTTGGCCTCCACAACGATGATATCCCAAAACAGGCTCTCAAGCAAAACGAGTTCGAGTGCCTGAACTTGAACATTACCTGTCCAGGCGGTTTGACGCCACAGTCTCACCTACCAGTCATGGTCTGGATACACGGGTACGCTTTCTATACTTCAATCTCCTCACTGCCTTACATTGTTTCATTAGTGGCGACGACAGAGGTCATGGATCTAACTGGGTTTACGACGGGGGACCCTTGGTACGCAAAAGTATTCTAGTCGGAAAGCCTGTCATTATGATTACCTTCAAGTAAGATCATTTCTTTCTATGGCATTTGCCGAACTGATATTAATCTTCCTTTCTTTCAAGTTTCCGTCTTGGTTTGTTCGGTTTCGCAGCTGGTCCTCAATTACGCGAGGACGGCGAAGACGGTATAGGCAACTTTGGTCTGCGCGATCAGCGCAATCTCCTCGAATGGCTACATCGCTATATCGCTGATTTCGGCGGTGATCCAGCCAACATCACTCTTTTCGGTGAATCCAGCGGTGCATTCGATATTGTCTGTCACATGCTTTCTTCTGTGAACGAGACACGTCCCTTGTTCCACCGAGCCATCGTCCAATCCGCGGTATTTGAATACAATATCCCAGACGTCGCGACCGCTGGATCCCAGCTGTCTAGATTGATGTCTTCAATGCATTTAACCACTATAAGCCAGCTTAGAGCTATCGACGCCGATCAGCTCGTTAAATTCGGTCGCTCTCTACGTGTCGTTGATGACGCCGTCTTTCTACGCCACGATTGGAAGAGCTTTCTTCTACCAGAAGATACTCACAAGCCTCACAATCTAACTGCCGTCGTTCCAAAAGCCCTCGCCGCTCTACGCTCCCACAATCACACCCCAAAACCTATCGCCTCCTCTCCCACCAGCCCAACCCACCGCGCCTCACCCAGCCTCTTCCAGCCCCTCCTCATCGGCGACTGTGCCTCCGATTCCATGCTCTGGTCCACCCCCATCTCCTACTGGACCTCTGCCGCCGCCGTGCGCCGCATCAAAGCCGTCTGTCAATCCCTCTCCAAAA